AAGTCTGGTATTTAACATAGACCTAAATTAGAATTGCAAAACTGTATTTAAAAAACGTATAGATTTTAAAGTTTAAATGTTTTTATTTTTTAAGTAAAGGAAACTTTTGAATGAATGCATAAGGAACAATAATGTTCATTATCTATAATCCCAACGAAAGAGTCATGAACTCACATATTGAAAACAGATCATGTTCTAGTTTGTGTAAAATAAAAGATTTTCTTTCAAGTTTAAAACTACCCCCAGCAGGCACCCGATGTTGTACATACGTTGATGTTTGGTTGAAAAAAGGTCGTAACATCGCCGACCTGAATTCAAAGTCGGCTGACAAACGTCAGTCTGACGTTATAGAACGATGTCTACATAACCTTGCTTTTTGATCGCGACCTTATACAACATTGTACAACGCCAACACAACGATGCCATATGTCGGTCGGACATTTCAAATAATCTAAAATATTGAAATCACACGTACATACAAATAAAGTTTTAAATTATATATTATCCTTTCATATTAATATTTATATATATGTATCCTATTGTTATCTAAAATAATAATGAACATTAAAATATAGTTTAATATAACCCTCTACTAAGATAAATAACGTCGAACAAGCCTTTTTCAAGTGTTTATGCTATATTCAGATTACCACCACCCCCTTTTTTCAAGGTACAGTTGCGCTCCTTTAGTTGAGGCAATAACATCAATATACTATTTAAATTATTCAATTGATAGTTTTTAATGTTCGTATTATAATCGGTGTATTTGTTGTTCAATGTACAAATAAATAAATAGGTACACACGAGTGTGGTGTGTATGCACAGATAATTGATAAATATGTATTTATGTGTGCGGTGTAGAGACTATTTGATAGTCTAGTTCATGGTATTTCTATTACGTAATCACGATGCATAGGATTACGCACGGAACTAACATTTAATTTCATTTGAAAACTAGGCGCAAACCTTGTGGAAAAAGTAATGAAGATCATTATTAAGATTAATTAAACCAGCTAAAAGTGCAAAAAAAAGGTTTGTACACTAATCGTATAGTTTCATGTTTAATTTCAGTTGATCGTTTGCTTTACACTAAAGAAGAGGCATTCTTGGAGTAAAAGATGGAAAAAAGGGGTGTCACCAAAATGAGGAGGAAAAGCTTTTTACACAGTCCTTGGTGTAAATGATGTCTTGTGACCCTAAAATAATGTTTTCCTGCTTATATTTTTGGTTAATGATTCTCTTGAAATGTCGGTTTGGTGGGATGGCAAATATGTATTATAGTAGATCCCAGTCAAGATTAGTTATGTCGCCAAGCTGCTTACAAATGCGGGCCCGGAAAAACTCGAAACCATTAAGAAGTCAACTCGGACCGTCTATAAAATCAACTTGGACAAAGTCTGTTAATAGGTCAACTCGGACCGTCTATATTCATTTACTCATACAGCTTTTAAACAGAAATGAAAATAAATTTAAGGAGAGTCATTCAATCTTCAACAATAGACATATATATGTTAATACAAATTGTCCTGAGTCTGTAATCTTTAATTGTCTCTTCTTAGACGGCCCCAGTTGTCTTTTTCGTCAATTATAGTCAAAACAACTCTTCCTTTATTTTGCGCATTGTAGAAGGCCTGAGAGACACAGTTTTTATCGTCAAAAACATTCATTAAATTATTTATATAAGTAAAAATTCTCCTTTATACTTTGTCTAAATTTGCATGATAGACGATCCCAGTTGAATTGAAAGACGGTTCGAATTGAATTGATAGACGGTCCGAGTTGAATTGATAGACAGTCCAAGTTGAATTGATAGACGGTTCGAGTTGACTTTATGGTCAGTCCGATTTGAATTGATAGACGGTTCGAGTTGAATTGATAGACGGTCCGAGTTGAATTGATAGACGATCCGAGTTGACATATTGACGGGGTCCGAGTTGTCGCGCACCTGCTGTTTACATGTAGAAAAATGTAATGTATCCCTATTTTTCAATAGACCTTTTCACTAATTGAGAAACTGTGGCACTTGATGAGCATTTGAGACACGCAAACGTTTGGCTTCATCATGTTTATACAACAATCACTTTAGTTTTGGCGTCCGACATGTTCTCTACCATGTTATGTGCAGGTGGTCTTGTGACATCAAAGTTTTACAGGAACATGCGTGATATCAAGATGGTGAATCTTAGTCTCGTGTCTTTTAATTAAAATGGCGCCACGGAAAAATACGACTCGTTCAAGTACGAAAGCTCGACATTTTATTAATAACCATTCAGCAAAGTTTTACGATTTTTGTTAGAAGAGAAGAGAAATATGCCGATAAAACAATAATTTAAAGATAATTAAAGAATTGTGATTGTCGTTTATATTTAGTTTTTTTTTTATCACGATTGTTCTTAGAAAAAACAACCCACTGCATTCAATATAATACAGTTTGTAATAATAAACCTTGTATTAGGTTCCATTTAAAGGTTATATCCTAGAAGAATGTATTTCTTCATATCCATGACAGCATCGAATGGTTTTATGATGTACATGAATAATGATATATCCTTTATGTGGCAATATAAATTCTTGAGTAAATGGAAAAACACTGAAACTGTGAATGACCTTAGAAAAAATTAATTCCTACTCGTTCGATTTTCTCGCCCTGTTCATGGATCCTTACTAATATAACCAATATTCTTTTTTCAAAATCTGACAACTACCAACCGCTTTATACTTAAAGAGTGTATCAGAAATACTCATCTGATGTCTTCGATCACATCATCATGTAGTATCCTACAATGGTGTAAAGTGTCATAAATATATGTCAAACCGTTAAAGAGGAGTTCCGTTTACAAGCAATGCATATGCTCAGACGGAATGACAAATAAACAGACAGCCACACGGACGGACGGACGGACGGGTGGATAGTGAATCCAAAACTTTGTATGCAGATGGGGATAACCATGATAATTTGTTTTTCTTTTTGAATGTGTAATACTCAATTATATTAAGATTTTAAAAAGACCACAGTTAAAAAGAAACAGTTATTACACAATTAAGTAAACTGAAAAAAGTAAAATAACAAAAATACAGAGCTCCAAGGAAAATTCAAAACAGAAAGTCCTTTATCAAATGGCAAAATCAAAAGCTCAAACACATCAAATGAATGGAAAACAACTGATTTACCTCAGCTAAAGTGTTAAAAGTCAACCTAAACAAGAACACGTCAAACGTTGGCAAGAGATCGAAGGGCCAAAAATATTTAATGAGAACGAAAAGAGTTATCCAAAGACAACAGAACATATTTTAAACATACGACATGTCAAACTTAATCTACAACGTAGCCATGCTATCCATTCAGAGTTCATGTTACTGACAAATTTCTTGTTGAATGGCACACAATAGAAATTATAGTGTGAAGAACATTATTATAGTACGCTTTACTTTTCGATTGCATTACAATGGATATATGTATATGTTTAATCGATGTTTCCTGTTAAATAAGTTTTATGATAATATTTTATTCACAGTTTTCATTTTATGTTACTCGTTACAGACACTATAACAGCAACTATATCATTAGCACTATATCGTTATCCCTGTGTCAACATATAGTAGGAACAGAAGATCAGGTTAAACGTATCAGAATGATGAACGCTGTTTAGGATCGTATGGACTGTACCAACAATGACGGACAATATAAACATGAATCCCAACAAGAATCCTTGTTGAAAGACTGTATATAATTTTAATTGTTTACTTGTTTAAAAGAAAATACGCCTTTTTTGCAAGACCATTGTTGAGAATTAAGGTTAAAACTTAAAACTTTGTTTAAAACAGAAGCGCTATAGCGATTGCGAAATACCCACTTATAAATGTTAACAGTTATGTTCAAAACATTTGTAAAAGCAACTCAAAGAAGTGACATGCGAAGTCATTTGAACACAAAATTGTATAAAACCACACAATTCACACCTTTTATTAATTACTTTATTGCCGATAGCTATCAAATGCTTGTTCATTTGTTCATAATCCGATGATTAATGATTTTCTGTTAAACTCGAAAACTTCAGGGTTAAAGCCGAGTGATGACAGAAAAAGTGAAAAAGTCCGCAAAATGCGATAATGCAACTGCCAGCGGAAACCCTTGGTTATTGTTTGGTTGAAAACTAAGAACAATTATCAAACCTCTAATGAAAATAGTTTCACACATTCTGCATGTTGTGAAACTCTTGTTACATTCGCCGAAGAACATTAAATGGTATGTTGCATGACTGTCCCTATCCAATAACACGTTCTTTGGAATTGAAAAAAAATGCTTCTGATTCCGATGGACCTACCGTGGACAACCACCCTATTGTATAATTAATATTGATCAAGTTCAACCCATACCTCACGTACATAAAGTTAAACAAAGGAGGTTTTGACTCATGAAATAAAACAATGGTTGCATTGTATTTATAATCTCTACTATGCATGATTCGGACCATATTATTCAACTAAACTTCAAACTTTTGAAAAGATTTGACCATTTCAACACAATTGACTGATCATTTGTTATATACCAAATAGTTCAATTCAATAAAATTAAATTTACAGCTCGTAGGGATTTTGTTCCAAAAAAAGATATTATAAATCTATTTCTAAACCCATACCTCACAACATGAATGTTCGACAAGGGAGCATTTGGCTTATAAAGTAAAACAATGATTTCATTGTATTTATAATCTACTACGCATATGACGGACTATACTATCTATTTAACCTCAAACTTGTGTGCAGATTTGAACAGAATTGACTGGTATTATAACAGATTAAATTGTTTCATTTCAGTCAATTACGTTGAAAGTTCTTAAATATTTGTTCCTTAAAATATATTATCAGACATTGAATGGTATCATAAGTCAAATGAATACTTCCTGTAAATTTATGTTCAACTGTTACAATAACGTATGTTAAACTGAAATACATCAACAAAAACGTTTTCTAACAAATGCAAGAACAAAAGAACAACATTGTTATTTGTGTTACTTTATAAAATATAACTACAGAATTACGTATTTATAAGATGTAAGGAATACGTTTTTGAGCAATATTTTTCGGGAAATTTTGTAAGCATCAAAAACCCATTTACTACATCTGAATAGAGAAACAATGGTTTTATGTAATTTTAGATAGTCTATTAAACATTTGTGATATAGGTTTATACCAGCAGCTTGTAGGTCAGTGGTTATCGTTGGTTCATGTCTGTTATATTTTTTTTCGTAAATTTATATGTTATAAATTAAGCCTTTAATTTCTCAATTGAACTCTTTCATATTTTTCATGTCGGAGGTTTTTATAGCCGACTATACGGTATAGGTGTTTCTCGTTGTTGAAGGTCGTACGGTTGATTTTAATTGCTTACATTCACGTCATTTGAATTTTGGTGTATAGTCGTCTCATTGGGAATCGTACGTCTTCGTTTTATGTTTATAAATACATGTATATAGAATGTATGTAAAAACCGACGAACATGTTTTCACATTAAATTGCGCTTTCTCGAAAATCCCTCAACTTAATTAGCATAAAAATTGTCCATTGTTATTGTCATTTACTAGTTCTGGGTCGAAATTGCTGCTGGCTAACTGCTCATCCCCGAGTGTATCATAGGCTCAGTAGTCGGTCCTCGGCACTGAAATGATTTATAAATATTCTAAAGGTTTTTGTGGATAAATTAAGAAATCATAAAGACAATAAGATTCCAAATCCCTCAGGCACAGTTGACCTATGACGAATTTGGCTATTATTTTTAAGTCCTTTTTGATCATAAAGTTCCTTAAGTGTCAACATATTTATACATTCCTCGCTTTTGAATGTTTTTGGTTCTTACTGAAGGTGAATCCAGGAAAGTGCTTCGGACTCGCGATTTTTTAGTTTTATATTGATTTAAATTAACACGCATAATGGTGAAATTTTAATTTTTTTCTTACGACATGCATATGCAAGAATATTTGCCATTGGACGTGAATGATAGAATGGGAGAAGACTTCATAAGTTTGATTAACTTTTGTCTCATCCCTTTTGCATATTTAAGCAAATAAAATATGTTTAAACTAATGATAGAACGATTACCTGATAAATAATCAACAAATGTTAACAGCAAATGAACCTGATGGGTTCAGTTATAACCTGTACAGCAAAATAACAAAAATACCGAACTCCGAGGAAAATTCTAAACGGAAAGTCCCTAAGCCAATGGCAAAATCAAAATCTCAAACATATCAAACGTATGGATAACAACTGTCATATTCCTGTCTTGGTACAGGCATTTTCTTATGTAAAAAATGGTGGATTAAACCTGGTTTTATAGCTAGCTAAACCTCTCACTTGTATGACAATCGCATAAAATTCCATTATATTGACAACGCTGTGTGAACAAATCAAACAGACATAATAGGTAAAAATGTCAATATATGGGTACAGCAGTCAACATTGTGTTATAATCTTAATCACTCTAAAAACAAACAAATATGTCAACAAAGAAAAACAATTCAAACAGGAAAACCAACTGTTTAATCTATATAAATAACGAAAAACGAGAGGACTGTTTATCAAAATGAAGTAAAATAATGTGTTTTATCATACTTTTATGACTGTTTTTTTTTACAAATACAGGAAATTTATGTTTGATTAAGTTTTGTTTTTTCAACTTTGCCAAAAAGTGAGATAACTCAGATAATGAACCTTTTATAAGGGAATGTGTAATGAATTCAAATATTAATTTTTAGAGTAAAAAAACGAGTCCCATAATCCAATTTTGTTGTTTTATTTACTGAAAGCATATTAAAAGATCTATCTTCTCAAATTGTATTTTGAACTTTTAAGGTAATTTGTTTTTATATGAAGACTTTTAAAGGTAAAAATATTTCATTAACAAAGAATATTTAATTAAAGTGTCTTTTTTCTCGATTATTTATAAATTTAGTTGATTGGATTATTGTAACTCTTTTGTTTTTTTAAACTTTATAATAATAGATACTGATGATTGATTAGATCGTTCTTTATGGTTGTCAATCGACATTCAGTGGTTGTTTGCAAAGAGATTGAATATTGTTTAATACAGTATAATTTATATCTCATATTTTTGTACACTTTTCCTCTGCAGAGAAATAAACATATAAATGTGAGAAACGAGGGTAAATTGCGTTTCATGAACTCATGACAGGAGAGATTACATTTATTATCCAATAATTTATCACGCATGATATACAAAAACATAAAGATGTATAGGTGAAAAAATTAAATACCTGAACAGAATTTGGATCAATATTAAGGTATAAATATTAACAAATATGATACTTGCATCAAACATTTTTTTTAAACTTTTGTACACGTACTTTCAAGCCTTTGTTTGTCTTTTCCTTGATGTTTGCATATATCTTTACACAAAGGTATCTTCATGATCTGTTTTCATTATACCATTAATAAAAAAAGAAACAGTGTCATTTCTTATTGTTATCAATATGAATATTAGTAACTGTCGTCTTATAGAGCATTCAATTTGTGTAAAACTATTTATCATTGGTGATAAAAAGAACAGAATTTCAATGCCGTTGTATAATATTCTAACGAAACGGAAAACATAGGCACCTTTTTTTTTATGCGACACCAAAGTTTGAAATTTTAAACTTAAATTTCTTCACTTTTATGTCTAACAATCCGTTCTAAGGTATACAAAATAGTTCTCAATTATAAGGCTTATTATAATTCAAATCTAAGATAAAATCATTTGAGAAATAAAGAAAAGTTATTAGCATTTGTAGTTGGTCCTGTCATTGTCGATGTGTGCCTGGTCATTGTCAACGTTTCTCAGGTCACGTTCTTAGCAAGATTGGAAAATATTTTTCTTTTTTTTTTCTTATATTTAAATGTTAATTGATGAAATCTTATTATATTTCAAATTTGAAATAAATCCTATGATGAAAAAAAAAGTCATTAGCATTTTCATTTTGGTCCTGTCATTGTCCTGTTATTGGTCTAGGCATAGTGTAACCCACCATGCAGTAGTTAACTTTTACAAAAAATAGAAGACGCGCCTTTTTCACGTTAACGAACCAATATCTTGTAAAACTAATATTGATAACGTCAAACTCATACCTCACGTACATAATGTTCTGGAGTATTTTGTGCTATAAAAGATATTATCAGAAATCCGATACTAAAACCATACCTCACGTACAGAATGTTAAACAAAGGAGGACTTGATTCGTACTATATGTTACGGATTATAACATTTATTTCAACTTCAAACTTTTGTGACGATTTGATCATTTCAATACAGTTGACTGATATTTGTTACAGACCAACAATATATTCAATTATATCTAAAGATCTTAAGTATTTGTTTCATAAAAGATATTATCCGAAATCTTATTGTATTATAAGTGTAACGAATACTGTCTGTAAAATTATGTAAAACTTGTAAAAAACATTTAACTGAAAGACATCAGCAAGAATGTATTCCGAATAATGCATGAACAAGACGACAATTACTAAACCTCCATATTCATTTTTCGTTATGGCAAAGCAAATGTTAATGGAAAATTTGTCACATTGAATTGCTTTTGCTCGAAATTCCGTCCACTTCTTAAGCACGAACTATGTCAATTATTTTTATTTTTAATGCACTAGTGCTGAGTCCAAACCGCTGCTGGTTGACAGTCTCCGAGAGTATCATCAGCTCCGTCGTTGGTCCTCGGCACTGACATGATTTATAAATAATCTATAGTTCCAACTCCCTCAGGCACAGTTGACCTAAGACAATTTGACTATTCTTTTATGTTTCCTTCGATCATATAGCTGCAAATAAGTCAACGTATTTATTAAGTCCTCGTTTTCAAATGTTTGGATTTGACCGTTCTTGATGAACGCCAATCCAGGAAATTGTACTGTTGAAATGTTGGCTTTTTCTTAAGTTAAAAACTATGCATGAAAATTTGCCATTGGCCTAAAGGATATAGCAATTAGCTCAAAAACACTCAACAAAAATTGACAACCAGTGGACGTGATTGGTGCATTAGGTTAACACGAAACCCAGTTAATTGTACGGGGAAACTCTAACATGCGACAGGTTTAATGGCTGATTCGAAAGGTCCTAGTACCAAAAAGGATCGAAAATATATTCATTCATCCCAAACAAGCAATACTATAAAAATCCACAAAAATCAAAAACTGCTAAAATATATTTTAATTAACTATTCATATTTAAATTGTACTGAATTTATTTACCATAAATCATTATTAAAACTATTTGATTTGTCTAAGGTCTAAAATTTTAAGAAAATTTCAATAGCACTCCGTACACCATTAGTTATATGAATTGCGCAGAAATATACAAACGAGCGATATGATATGTAAATTGCTTTCCTTAAACTGACGACGGAACGGAATAATTGTATAATTCAATAATGTATCGAGCATTGTCTCAGCATCATGAAGATACATTAGGGGTTAAGAAATGCAATACCTGTTAAAATACCAACACTGATGTTAACTCATCATTCAGGTATACAAATGTGCAAATATGATAAAACTGAGAATGGAAGTTGTGAATGTGTCAAAGAGACAACAACTCGACCAAGGAGCAGAAAACAGCCGAAAGCCACAGATAGGTATTCAACACAGCGAGAAAAATCCCGCACACGGAGGCCCGCACCCGGAATGATACTTACATTCAAAACATTATTTTTATTGACTATTGATATGTACTCTTTGGCGTTTGTTTATCTTTCTCTTGGTGATTGCATATATCTTTACACAATGGTTCTTTCATGTTTTGTTTCCATTGTAATATTGTCATTTGCTTTTCGATAGACATTTTCAATCAAAACGTGTAGGATGGAACAGTATAATATAAATATGTACTAACAAGAACTTGACTACGAAGAAATCACGAATGTAAAGATCAAATCAGTAGCAATATTGAATAGACATTAAATGAAGACTTTTGTAGGTATACAGATAAAATTAACAAAGAATATTTAATCAAAGTGTCTTATTTCACGATCATATCTAAATCTATTTGATTGGATTATTGTGATTTTTGATTAATTAAAGTGTGTGATAATAGGAACTTATTGTTGATAAATAAAATTAAAACATAGATCGTTCTAAATTATTGTCAATCGACATTCAGAGTTAAGTTGCACCGTCAGTGAGTTATGTTTAATATAGTATAATTTATATAGCATATTTTTGTACACTCTATTCCTCTCGCTCAAGTGAATAAGTCAACTTCATTATCTCATCAAACAGCTTTTATTACGTCCTTCAGTCTTTACTGAGCGGTTGTATCATTGGCAATGATAGCACATATACTTATTTTTATATAAACTACAAAAATATAATCATAGATACAAATGTCTTAAACTTTGTAAAGAATATCTCTCCCCCAACAAATACACGAAATATGATCTACCAACAACATTGATTGGTCAAGTGTTTGCTCTATTGCTATATAGTAGTGGTCATTTATTATTGGTGGAGAAAGCAGCAATACCCGGTCACCAACAACATGTCCGTAGAGTTTGGTTCTAATTGTACATCACTACTGGGAAGTTTGTTGTTATATTTAAAGAAAGACAAAACGAAATGAATCTTAAACCTATCTTAAGTTTGAAATTTTTCATTTCAATAATCTAGGAGAAATTTGACATAAAGTAATTTGCTTCTAAACACAATATTTGTACCCTACATGAAATACTGACACAGATGAACGACTTCAAACTAAGACCCATGCATACCAAATGTTACAAGTGTAATAATAATACCCAATAGCAACAACAAATAGCCTTATACTGAGGTATGTTATAGGTTAAAAGATGCAATTAACAAAGAACATTTGATAAAAGTGTCATATTTCTCAATTAGGTGTTAATTAAGTTGATAGGGTTATTGTAACTCTTTTGTTCATTCAAAATTTAATAGATAACTGATGATTGATTAACGAGTATTGTTATTAAAATATACATTGTTCGTTATGATTGCCAATCGTCATTTAAAGTGTCGTCTTGAAAAGATTAAACTGTTTTATTACAGTATGATTTGTACTTAATTCCTATCATGATATATTTTATATCGCATAGCTTTCTACACATATGTTCTTCTTGCTCAATTTAATGAAGTGACTACTATTTGTCATTAATCAATACTTTCTACGTCCTCGTGAATGGCTAGTTCATACCGCATCTCCATATGTTTATATTTTTACACACATGGAAACAATAGATACAGATTTTTTGTATTTTGTCGCAAAAAAGTCTTACACTTTTAAAGAACAGCGTTGTTCCAATAACAGAAAAACTGAAGATGAAATACACAAAATGATTGATTGATGGTTTAATTATTGGTTGCTTAATTACCAGTGGCAGATATTTCATGCATATTTAGGACCAGAACAAATTAATAAGAAAAACATAACGTAGGTCCTGCAATAGGAGCCGTCCATGATGAAGATCCGGAAAGTTGAACTGCAGCTGGAAAAAGTGGGTATACTAGATACGGACAGAAATTTAGCAGTACATGGACCTAAACAGCATACATGTAACACAGTCACGATGGTTCAGAACAGGGACATTAACATCAATACACAGTCTCGCTGTGTCAGTACAGGGACTTTTACATAAATTCACAGTCACGATGAGTCATAACAGGGACCTCAACATCAATACACAGTCACACTGGGTCAGTAAAGGAGCATAATCATTATTACACAGTCTCGCTGGGTCAGTACAGGGACATAACCATAATTACACAGTCACAATGAGTCAGTAAAGGGACCTAAACATCATTAAACAGTCACAATGAGTAAAAACAGGGACCTTAACATCATTACACAGTCACGCTGAGTATAACAGTAACCTAAACATCAATACACAGTCAAGGTGGGTCAGTACAGGGACCTAAACATCAGTACACATTCACGCTGGGTTAGTACAGGGACCTTAACATCATTACAGTCACGATGAGTCAGAACAGGGACCTTAACATCATCACACGGTCATGTTGTATCAGAACAGGTACCTTCACATCAATACAAAGTCACAATGAGTCAGTACAGGGACCTAAACATCATTACACCGTCACGATGAGTCAGAACAGGGACCTTAACATCATTACACAGTCAGGCTAGGCCAGTACAGGGACCTAAACATCATTACACCGTCACGATGAGTCAGAACAGGGACCTTAACATCATTACACAGTCAGGCTAGGCCAGTACAGGGACCTAAACATCATTACACATTCACGGTGCATCAGAACAGGGACCTTAACATCATTTCACGGTCACGATGAGTCAGAACAGGACTTTAACATCAATACAAAGTCACGATGAGTCAGTACAGGTACCTTAACATCAATACAGTCACGCTGGGTCAGAACAGGGACCTTAACATTATTAAAAAGTCAGGCTGGGTCAGTACAGGGACCTTAACATCAATACACAGTCCAAATGGGTCAGTAAAAGGACCTTAACATCAATACACAGTCACGATAAGTCAGTACAGGGACATAAAAAGCATTACACAGTCCAAATGGGTCAGTA